TCAGCCCTGTAGCTTTTGTAGGTCTTGAGATGAAAAACTGTGACAGACGCACACACGGACACACAGGCAACTCCTCGTCAATATGCGTTTTCTGCATTGCACAGCTGCAAAAAACGCATAATAAGCAGGCTGAAGCAATCAAGCATTTACTGTATGCCCTCTGGTCAGTTCACGCTTCTTTCCTTTATTATTTTTTAAAAAGTACAAACTATTTTTTTCACAGGAATTCATTCTATTTTGTATTATCCTTTATCAACAATCGTCGTACTGATGAGGTGCAGTTGGGGTGCTGAAAAGGAATGTATACGATTTAATGGGCTGAAAATCACTCCGGTTCGTCTAATTCTTTCAATATAAAATTATGCCTTATTCATATCATCATTAACATCTTCATTCCCGTGCTTATAATCTCCATAAATTCACGGGAAAGTGATTGATGCCGCACTGAAAACGGTTTTTAAAGCAGTATTTCAAACGATAAGGCCCTGACTGTAATGCCTTTCAAATGGTAGCGTTGTGATTACGTTTGAAATGCGATGAGCTAAGTGCACTTTTGTCAAAATATCACCAAAGTTGACGACAGCAATTTTGGTGGGTACCTTATTCGAAAATCCAGCAGTGAGAGCAGCCTCACGGGCCACGTTACTGGTTTTGCATTCCTGGATCACAGTACCACATACAATGTGCCCCACTTCATCCATATTCACTTTGGTCCGATCCACCAAAGCTGCAAAGCAAGCAGTGCTCGAATTTCGATAAAACATTTTCAGATCAGTTAAAACTGAATAATTCAGCTTAGTGTGGGTGCGCATAAGAAGAGAGGTAATGCCAGTAACAATGCTGAAGGTAGGACAGGAAATGCTCGGTAACAACAAAGATTCACATCGACCGAAACGGGAAGAGGCCGCTAAATTTCATGCCGAGCAGAACGGAATGCGGTCGAAGCATCACAAGTTTTCACGTCTACGTCTAAGCGACAGTAATATCTATGTAGCTCAAAATGTCGTTTTACCCCATCTTATCTTCACGCCAAGCAGATGATGTGACCAGAACTGTATCACTTGGTAATTCTGGAATTCACTTCCCTGCTTTCTTTCTTTTACTTATTTTGCAGAAAAATGCTCCACGCTACCGGAGCCACCGACCAGAAAACCTTTTTCGTTCCCCTGTGACGGATACTGCCAGTAAAGGAAGGCTGGGACGGGAGGAGGGAGGGAAAAGGGGAAGGAAAAACGGAGTATGTCAAAAACTTTCAGAAACACCTTAGCAGTGATATGTTGAGCCAAACATTGTGCTGACAAATTGGTACTCGAAATTTGATCCAAATACAATAGAAATTGAGGAGAATTAAGAAAAAAGCATGCACAAACGTGAAAAAAAAACTGAAACCTAAAAGCGCGGCCTTTTGCAGATCATTGGAAATCATGTTCCTGAAGGCGGTTCCAGACTGCAAGAATGGCGTCCGCACAGCATCCACCAGTACAATATTCGGACGGCCTGGCTTCGAAAGCGACGGCTTCTTGGCTGCCGGGACCGGTGCAGCTGCAGCTGAGGCACGGCACAGAGCAGTTCGTATGGGATCCACTGGACGAAGAACACTGGAGTTCGTGAAGCACAGAAAACGCAGCATCCTTCTGACCGGCTTGTCCTACCCGATATCTGAAAAACCTTCGAATAATATGCACATGGTGAGACGAATGGTACCACAATATTAGCGTGCGAAGAACATGAAAAAGCTCGTTTTGATTGGAAACCGCACGTGCTACTGGGAAGGGGGATGATGCGGAGAGCGAACAGATTCTTTCGCTTGAAAGCGACGCCAGAATTGCCCACAATGGACTGGAAAAGTGCAAACAAATTGGGATAATTGGTGCGAAATCCAATCAGGCGCGGATAAGTGGTATATCAAGTAACTCAGGTCCGAGTTATTTTTCAAGTCACTTCGAATTTTAAACAAAAGTCAAAATCCCCATGCATTCGTCTTTTTTAGAAGCGGAGACATTCGGCTGTAGTCTAGTTGGCAGCAAAAGCGGTAACAGCAACCATCCGCTGACAAGGCTGCCGATGAATTCGCCATTAGAGAACTGCTCACAGAAACATGCTGACAGCGAGTTTGACTCCCTGATAAATTAATCGTAGAGTCAGGGGACGTTCACGACTTAGTGGACCGAAACATCTTACCTCATCCTTTCCTTGGATTCCTAACCCCTCTCCCCCCCCCCCTTGCACCTTCAATCCTCTTGCTTCCATTTTCAGCCCATC